CATATTTCCCCCCTGAATTATAGGCTTATAGCATTTTTTCCACCGAGTTATTCACGTATCCACATTTGCCCCCTCAATTATTTTTAGAGTTAATTACCAAAATGGTCCCTCGACTATTGCGAAATTACCAATTTAGTCTTTGATAATTTTTCTTACCCAATTAAGTCCTCGACTTTGAAAATGTTAACCATTTTGATCCTCCGTTAAAATTCTATCCATAAGCTGTTAAATTTAAACGAAAGGAGTTTGGTACCCCCGATGAACCACAAGACCAGAGGATTGGTAGAAGAATTGTAGGGTGATTCCGCGAAGTAATAAAACAGAGATCTTCCGGCCTTCTGGTCCATGGTTACATAGCTCGCATACTGGTTAAACTTCACTCCTACAGGTTGCCCCGGCAAGGCATCAATCTTGTCAGCCTCCATTGATCCTTCTTGAGCTTCAATATTTGCTGAAAAAGAAAAAGAAGAAGAAGAAGAAATGCGCGTGCAGCAGCGTCTTCAGAAACAGGCTGTTGGGGGAAGAGAGATAGCAACCGCAACCGCAACGGCGGCGATACGGGCTATTGGGGGAAGAGAGATAGCAACGGCTACCGCAACCGCAAGGGCGGCGATAGAGAGAGGCGGCTCTTCCAATTCTAGAGCCAGCGATTGTGAACCGTTCCCATTCAATGACCATTGCCAAGGATTCCCAGAACAGTAGGACTGGATAAACAAGAAGAAGAAAAGTTTTAATAAAATAAAATATATGAAATTACTTTTTGTCTTTAAATTTACCAGCTTATGGATGGAATTTTAACGGAGGATCAAAATGGTTAATATTTTTAAAGTCGAGGACTTAATTGGGTAAGAAAAATTGTCGAGGACCAAATTAGTAATTTTGCAATAGTCGAGGGACCATTTCGATAATTAACTCTTATTTTTAAAGTGATCGTTTTCCTCCCTTTGATGTTAAATGGACATTTTTACTCTTAAAATAATTATTTCATTTATTTTTCTTCTCTAACAAATTTACTTGTATGTAGAGACGACTATGATTCGATTTGAAAAGAACCGGACACTATAACAATTGAACTGAAAAAGTAGGATGATTCTTGTTACGATTCAGAATTGAAAAAAAAAAAATTCCTAATACAATTATTATTGCGTAAATTGTGGTCCACATAGCTGTGTGGACAACACTTCAAAAACACATAAAGTACATTATTCAAATTAATAAAATAGATTGCTCTAACTCATAAAGTACATTATTCTACCTTATAAAATACATTATCTTACCCAAGAAATTTCATTATTCTAACACATAAAGTACATTATACATTATTCTAACTCATAAAATACATTATTCTAACACATAAATTAAAGTACATTATTCTAACTCATAAAATACATCATTTTACCCCAGTAATTTCATTATTCAAACACATATAAAGTATATTATTTTAACACATAAAATACATTATTCTAACTTATAAAATATATTATCTTACCCCAGAATGTTCATTAGCCTAACGGATTCTATAATTTATGTATTATAGCGAAACAATTGTGTTTTGCAGTTCTTTTATTTTTATATCAACTAGTTACCACACACGCATTGTGCGAATAGTCCAATGTCCAATGTGAATTTTTAAATTATCATTTTTAAAACAAACACATACACACACGCACACACACACACACATACACACACACACACACACACACACAAAATTAAGTACTACACTCATTCATACTAATTCCAAGTACTACCTCTTGTTATATTTTCATAACTTGTTTACTTGATAGTCACAACAATAATTCTGCAGGTAGTTCGAATACTGGTGATGCAACATGTCCAATTTCATCAATAATTTTCACATCCATTTTGCATATGTTCATTTTCAAGTTCATATTTTCCACATCAACAATTTTTTTAGATATAAGGCTGAGATTGATTCTTAGTTTTTTTTTTTTTTTTTTTTTTTGTTATATATGTGTGTGTGTGTGTGTGTGTGTGTGTTAAATGTTGAAAAATACGTTAGGCGCCGAGGGGGCGCCCGATTTTTTATTTTTTATTTTTTATTTTATTTTTTTAAATATTTTTTTAATTTTTTATAAAAAAAAATAACTAAAGATTGTAAAAATTCACTAATAAAACATAAGGTTCCTCTAGTTTTTCCTTACAAACTATTTACGTAAGTGGTTGTAAAATTGTTCAAAATATTGTTGAAACCATCTAAATACATAAAAAATTAAAATTAAGAGCAAAATACGCTTTTTTTTTTTGAGAAATTGGAGGGCAAACTACCTACGGATAACCGAAAATTGTTTGTATTGGATAGATCTCGAAAAAATACAAGATTTCAAAAAAATAAAAATTATCCAAAACGAATAACCGAGTCAAAAGTTATGTCTGACCAAAGTTTCTACACTTTGCAACTAGTAAAAACTTCTACAAGTCAACACTAATATTGTAAAATGGGGTATTTTGGTCATTTGGTGAATAACACTTAAAAAAACAGAAAATGATGAACGATTCAGCCGGCCACCTAGCCACCCGGCCATGGAGGAGGCCGATTCCGGCCTTCCTCGCCGCACTTGGGCACGTTTTTTGCAACACTTAATATATATATATATATATATATATATATATATATATATATATATATATATATATAACTAAGTTCTCTAGTGCGGGTGCATGTTTCCCGTGCGGTTGTGCGGTGAGTAATGTGCGTGAGTTATATATATATATATAACTAAGTTCTCTAGTGCAGGTGCATGTTTCCCGTGCGGTTGTGCGGTGAGTAATGTGCGTGAGTTTTGTACTTAAGGTGCGTGAGGCTTGTGCTTAAGGTGCGTGAATTTTGTACTTAAGGTGCGTGGGTGTGTACTTAATGTGAGTAGTTGTTGAAACTTAAGGTGCATGAATTTTGTTTTTAAGGTGCGTGAGTTTTGTACTTAAGGTGTGTGAGTCTTGTGCTTAAGGTGCGTGAGTCTTGTGCTTAAGGTGCGTGAGTTTGTGCTTAATGTGAGCAGTTGTTGAAATTTAAGATGCGTGTGTTTTTGTACTTAAGGTACGTGCGTTTTGTGCTTTAAGGTGCGTGGGGGTAGGGGTGACCACGGTTCGGTTCTAACCGTAAGTTCGAACCATAACCGTTATTGTGCTAACCGGAATCGAACCGAAACTGTCGATACGATTCCGGTTCTTAACCGGAACCAATAAGGTTGCGGTTAAAGTTTTCGAACTATTGGAATCAGAACCGCCAGTTCCGGTTCTAAACCATAAAAATAAATAAATAAATAAAATAAAATATTCTAGGTGGCTTGTGGGCGTGTGGCGACCGCCTAGTGCCCACTCGCATAGGCAGTGGAGTAGATTGGCGCAAAGGCCAGGCCCACGCTTGGCCTTTGTGCCAAAGATTCCAAATTCCAACTTTGTTAGAATTTGGAATCCTTTTTAAATCTATCAAGCAACAAAACATCATAATAATAAAAAAAATTAAAAAAAAATTAAAAAAAAAAATGGTTAGAACCGGCGGTTCTTACCGGAACCTTTATATAAGGTTCTGGTTTCGATTTGTCCATTTACGGAATCGGCGATTCCGAACCGGAATCGGAACCGTGGTCAACCCTACGTGAAGGTTGTGCTTAAGATGCGTGAGTTTTGTGCTTAATATGCGTGAATTTGTGTTCTGAAAGTATTTTGTTTGTGTGTTTAATGTGCATGTGTTGTGTACGTAAAGTGCGTCAGTATAATGTTTAATGTGAGTCCAACTGCACAACGGCACGGGAAGCCCCTCCCGCACCAGATACCAATTGTAATGAACCTAGGGCTTTGCAGTAATGAAGAAGAACAAACAGTAGGAGAAAGGTGAAGAAGAGAGCAGAAAAGGGAGAAAGGGAGAAGAGAAGGAGAATTGCAGAGAGTTTAGAGAGGATCTGATAATTCTATTCATGCCAAGCCTAAAAACCTCCAGCTATTATAAGTAACAGTTTATTTAATCAAATTGGTATTATATTTTATGTAATAAGTAGTATGATTTATATCATAAGTAACAAACAATTATCCTAGATTCAACCCGTCTCACACAAGTATGACTCTGAACAAACAAAAAAAAAAATAAATAAATAAAATAAAAATAAAAATGACACTTTTTCCCACTAAGTTATATGCTTATAGCACTTTTTCCCCGGAGTTATTCATGTACCCACATTTGTCCACTCAGTTATGTTAAAAGTGGCAATTTTCCCCCTTTTATGTTAGATGAACATTTTTACCGATAATATAAGTATTTCATTTATTTTTCTTCTCCACCAAATTATTGCTTGTATGTATGGATGATCACGATTTGGTACTTCGGTTCGAACCTAAACAGACATTGTAGCAACCGAATCAAAACAGTAGGGACGGTTCTGGTTACGATTCTAAACCGGAAAAAATAAATTTATTTATTTATTTTTAAAATAGTTTAAATTCAATAATTGTTTTATTTTATTTTATTTTATTTTTTCTGGTTCAGAATCGTAACCAGAATTGTCTCTACTGTTTTGATTCAGTTGCTACAGTGTCCGGTTAGGTTCGTATCGAACTGTGGTCATCCATATATACAAGCAATAGTTTGTTGGAGAAGAAAAATAAATGAAATGCTTATTTTTAAGGGTAAAAATGTCCATTTAACATAAAAGGAGAAAAATTCACCACTTTTAACATAACTGAGAGAGCAAATGTGAATACATGAATAACTTAGGAGGAAAAGTGCTACAAGTATATAATTCAGGGATAAAAAGTGTCAATTCCAAAAAAAAAAAAAAAAAAAAAAAACAATACTATTTTTTCCTCATATTTGAATTTAAAAAAATTATGCTAAAAATATTTTTCATAAATCAAACACATAAAAAAATTCATTTGTTCTCAAATTTAAAAATAAAAAAAAAATAAAAAAAAAAACAAACAAACAAACAATTTTGACCAACCAAACCGGCTGTAAGGGTTGAGAGGGAGAGAGCCCCATAGTCAATTGCAAAGTCGGAAAGGACTTGGAGATGGAGCATTGGACGCCGTCGATGCTTATTCTTGTTGTCCAAGCCATCTATTCATCGCCGACCTATTCTCCTCTAAAACCCCTCCCAAAATCTAAAAACTATATAGTACTTCACCGCCAGAATCTTCGCGCCTTCGCACAAAATTCAATCAATATACTTTTAGCGAGCGATCAGAAGTTCATAACCAGGTAAGCTATGGAAATTTGTTATTTTTGCTGAAAATATGTTTCATTTCGTCGCAATTTTTATTTATTTATTTATTTCCCTTTCTATTCAGCGTCAGCTGCAGAGAGAACAAGATTCGAAATTGAATTCGTTCCAATATGGTAAATCTTCTTCTTCTTTTAGCTTAATTAGTTCCGTCTTCCAGAAATGGTTTTGAGTTGCGAAACTGCAGACTAGGAAGTTTTTATAATATAATCAGCGCTGGGAATTCCTTTAGAAAGTTTTTATTTTCATTCCCTTTTTTAGGAAAATTCTAGGCATTGTATTATCATTGCCATTGCATATCAGAACAAAGTTTCTTTGTTCTTGATATTTGTTATTGATTGGTTGTGACTTGTGAGTACAGAGTATGCAAACATTTAATAATATGAAAGGTTGATTAGTTTTTTCTTGTTCTCTTTTGGTTGAATTTCTTCATATGGTCTAGCTTCTTTTGAATTGGGATTGATAATTTGCAAATGGATGGGGCCTTGAAAGTTGGGGTAAATTGTGAATATTGGAAACAAGATGCCTAGATGAGTTTACTCCTGAAGGTCAAATATCATTCAAATTATGGGCATTAGGTGTTTAGTTCTTTTAGGGGAGGGAATTTGTATTTGTAATTACTAGGTTTCGGTGTTGGGCTTCATGGTGCAGAGAGAAGTAATTGGCAATGTGTGTGATTTGCTGAGCTATAGATTAATAATAGCTTTGTACTTGTAATGTAATGATGCTTAAGATGGATTGATGTACTTTGAAGATACTGTTTCTCGAGGTGAAAGTATAATGCTCTTTGGCATTTTGGCTTTCAGACAACTCCTTTGGTTATGGGAGCAGCAGTTGGAAGTGTTGCACTGGGAGCAAGGTACCTAGTAAGAGCATGGGAAGCATTCAAAGTAGCCCCTCGAGTTCGGAGGTTTTATCCTGGTGGATTTGAATCCGTAATGACCAGGCGAGAAGCAGCATTGATTCTTGGAGTCAGGTGAATGTTCTTAACCATGATATATTCTGATTATGCTTGAGTGCGGTAGTATTAACAAAAGCAATCTCAACCACAGGAGGGGTTTTTTTTTTTACCTAATTCTACTACATGTACTCCCTCAATTTTACTCCCTGATGTAGCAGGCTTTGATAAGCTATTTTTTTTTCATGTGGGTCCTAATACAAGTGTCTATATCAAGATTTTGTGTGTGGGAGTATAAAGTCGGAGTACACAAGTTTTTGCAACTGTCATGATTTTGGATATATATATATATATATATATATATATATATATATATATATATATATATATTTTCAAATGGATGCCCCTGGCTTTTTAGCTCTTTGAAGTTTCATCATGTTTATGTTCTCTTCTTGTGAAATAATCTTTAACTCCCTGTTCTGTTTGCTTCCTATGCATATAGAGAGAGAGCTGCTATAGAGAAGATCAAGGAGGCACACAGGAGAGTGATGGTAGCAAACCACCCAGATGCTGGTGGCAGCCATTATATTGCATCTAAAATTAACGAAGCCAAAGAACTCTTACTGGGGAAAACCAAGAGTCATTCTGCGTTTTAAATAATTCAATTTAAAGGTAATTTTTTTAATACTATTGACTCGGGTAATTGTGAACCCAAATTTTGTTGGTAAAATTTAAGCATTTTACTGTTGCAACATTGATTCTTCAAGAGGCACATAGTAATTTGTAAGCTACATCACAATCTGTCTAGGAAAGTGCTATTTATAATGGATTTGCTATCCTTTGTATTTACAAAGTGACTGTGTGAATATGATGTTCATTTTCTTTTCTTTTTTATTTATGATGTTCAAATAGAAATATATTAAAGAATCGACTGGTTTCTAGCACATTATTGGATAAGATATTTACACTTGAACTACATTGTAGACATCTCAACCAAACTCATGTGGTAACTACATTAATCTGCTTTTTATATAGAAAATTTTGTACTGTTCTATTGGCGCAAATTTTTCTTCCAACGACCATAATAAAAGATACATTTTTAATATATTAAAAGTACATTATTTATGTACAGAATGTACATTATTTGATAGTATACAAAATAATGTATCTTTTATATTCAAATTATATACTTTTAACTAATGTATATGTACTTTTAAAACATTTTATATATAGTCTACATAGTCCATAAAATAATTATTGGTTTTTTGGGGCAAATTATATCGTGCACTAAGGCACACAATGCATTGTGCGCTTTGGCACAAAACAACATTGTTTGTGTGTGTGTGTGTGTGTGTGTGTATATATATATATATATATATATATATATATATATATATTGTAAATTTTCATTTTCCCATGTTTCGAATATACATAATTGTATAACAGAATATAAATAAAGTCCTAACATAATATACATAATCTTTTTTGAAAGGATAATACACATAATCTAATATAATACACATAAACTCTTAACATAATATACATAAACTTTTAACTCTAAAAAAAAAAAACCCTATTTTGAATGTACATAATCGTATAATAGAATGTACATAATTGTATAATAAAATACACATAAACTCCTAACATAATACACATAATTTTTTTGAAAGGATAATACACATAAATTCTTAGCATAATACATATAAAACGATATTCGTCACGTCAATTTCTCACACAATTTAACAAAATAACATCGTTTTGGACAAGATGAAACGCACAATGCACGATATAAGAGCATCCACACTAGTGGATAATATGGGGTTATTACTACATGAATTCTTCCCAATTAGAGTTAATAGCTGATGTGGGGTGCGGATAATCCAAAAGGAAAATACTTGGTGTACTCCCATTTTAAACTCTCAACTTGTACTCCCTCTCACATGCTTTTGATATAGACACTTTTCAGTGGACCCACATGATGAAAATAACCAATCCTGATTTGCCACCTCAGGGGGAGTATAAATGAGGGAGTAGAATTTTGGGAGTTTATGTAGTAAAACTCAATCCAAAAATAACTCTCCTGCAAATGAAGGCATAATGTCAGAATTTTTTTTTTAAAAAATAATAAATAAAGCAGTGAGACGCAGTTGACCACCCAGCTGGCGGCCACTCTCAATTGAATACAATTCTGGCCGTTGCTGGCCGAGCAACGGCCAGAATTGTATCCGTTGCCAGCAACGGTCACATTTCCGGCCGTTGATGGCAACGGATAGTTAAAAATAAAAATATAAATATAATATATATTTATCTATAAATACCACATGTCTTCACAATTTTTTTACATTTTATCCCACTCTCAATTCATTTCTATTATTCTCTCAATTTCTTTTATCATAATGGAAAAATACAATACTTCCAATCAAAATTCACAATCCAATTTCCCTTTTTCTCAACCATCTTCCCAAAATTCTCAATTTCAAACAAATTTTCAATTTCCACCAAATTTTCAATTTTTACAAAACTCTCAATTTCCACAAAATGCCCAACTTCTGGGTAATACTCAATTTTCTTCATTTCCGCCTATATTTCAAAACTCTCAATTTGCGGGGTCTTCTCAATTTCCTATCAACATACCAAGTGGCCAAATTCCGGGTAATATACAATTTACTCAATTTTCGTCTTTTCCTACACAAAGCGAACATGATTGTTGAGGATGAAGGTGAATACGTAACTACTTGGGTGGGCGAAGAAAATGAAACAACAACAGAAGCATCCCAAGGATCAACCGAAGAGTTTCAACACTATTTAGAAAGAAATGCCGAGTTACATGACTCGCAATTGCATCATCAACTCCGCGCGGATTTGGTTGAGCATATATGGAGCAACAACGACAATTAATTTAACCGCTTTGTATTTTAATTTTTATGTACTTTAATTTATTTTTAATGACTTTGTATTTTAATGTTTATGTACTTTAATTTATTTTAAGTAATTGACTTTAATTATCTTTCTTTTTTTGTTTTAACAATTCCACTTTGCATATTTTGTACATTTTCCGTATGCATGTTGGAGTAAAATAGATAAAGAAATAAAATATAAATTTATAAATAAAATGGATAAAGAAATAATTAAAATATAGTGGGTTAAATGGTGGGGTCCACAAAAAACTAAGAAATAACTTCAAACTGATATAGAGAAGAGTTATTTGTGATTGAATGAGATAGTGAAGAATGAGGTGGAAGCTGGGACCCACAAATAACTCCTAAATCTCTCCAACTCATGAGGGCAAATTATGTTGTGCATCCGTATGCACCATGCATGGTGCATACGGATGCAAAAACGACGTCGTTTTAATAAAACGCGCGTCTCCTCTTAAAAAAAACAAATCAGGTTCGATTCCCAGCAACAACATATGAACTAAAATTCCATAATCAATGAACTATAATTCCATAATTGATGAACTATAATTCCATAATCGATGAACTATAATTCCATAATCTAATCTATGAACTAAAAATTCCAGAATGAATGAACTAAAATTCCATAATCTATGAACTAAAATTTCAGAATCGATGAACTACAATTCCAGAATCGATGAACTATAATTCCATAATCAATGAACTATAATTCCATAATCTATGAACTAAAATTCCAAAATGAATGAACAATATAATGTTGTTGCTGGGAATCGAACTTGAATTTTTTTTAAAGCAGAGACGCGCGTTTTTTAATAAAACGACGTTGTTTTGGCATCGGTATACACCATGCATGGTGCATACGGATGTACAGCATAACTATTGACTCATGAGAATGCTCTAATGATTGTTCTTCTGGATACCCTGTGCCACTCATGATTTGAAGAAATATGGTAGGCCCAAAGTAACTTGGAATAAACTATTTAAGTTTGATTGCTATTGACTTCATAAATTTAATTAATATGATTATTATGAGTTTAACACAAATAAATCCTATATATAATAAAGTTATATGGTCTTTTGAAAATTGAATGTTGCATTTAATTTTCATAAGACCATATGACTTTAAGATGTGAAAGTCTTGTGAAAATTAAATGGGCTTTAAGATGTGAAAATTACTTTAAAATGTGAAAATTAAATGCAACATTTAATTTTCACATCTTAAAGTCATATGGTTTTAAGAAGCATGCATGCAACCCCAAAGTCCATAAGTTTGAAATTAATATATAGCATAGCTATGTGGCTTAATATTTAAGATTGTTGATGTGCATATTGAGGACTAGGGAGACAAAGATGCGTTATTCGTGGATTCATCGGATACTATCCAACAACACTCTCCAACTTAATTGACGTGAAGTAGGCTTAGTAACATTAAGATTATATTCTCGAATTATTAGTTCTCATCTTTTATTGATTACACACTTAATTCGATAGTATTTGGAAGAAAAAAATCAATGTTCTAACTAAGATTGTGATTTTGGTCTTTAAAGGTCAATTGTATGTTGCTACATCTAGAGTCAGAAATCTCAAAGGTCTAAAAATTTTGATCCGTGGTGACTCTAAAATTGTAATTCAATTACTATTGTAGTTTACTAAGTTCTTAAAAATTTATAATATTAAATACTATGTACTAAATTTTTAATATAGTTTAAGATTTGTAGTAATCACCCACCTTAAATATTATTTTAATTGTAAATATATTTATGTTCATAATTTTATCATAGGAATTCACACATAATAATTATTAAATAACAAAAATTTTATATATGAATAAACCTCATATAGTGTATATTTTTATAACATATTTTCTGTGCATCGCACGGGACAAATACTAGTGTATATATATATATATATATATATATATATATATATATATGATCAAATGAGAAAAAAATTTTATAAGAAAAATAAGAATCAATTTTAACCTTACATTTGAAAAAAAATTAATGAATTAAATCAAATTATTTTAACAAAGAAATACAGTAACATTTTTATAATTATCATCAATTTTACTATGTAACTTTAAACACTTAAATCTTGTAAACACAACTGCCTTTGCTGTAATACATAAATTATAGAATCCGGCTCCAACCGTGGTTTCGGAGTTGTGATTTTAATTTTTTATTTCCCTTATGTTAGTATATTAGTTATTATAAAATAAATACGGACTAATGGGCACAGTTGGCTCCGTTGTAGCACTGGTTAATTCAAAAATTTGATATAATTTGATTCCGGGTTCGAATCCTGGCAGTGGAATTATAATTTTTTTCCTCCTTTTTTTTTTTTGGTTATTTATTAGTTTTTTTAATTCCTCCTTTTTTTTTTCGGTTATTTATTAGTTACTAACAAGTGTCAATTATATACAGAAACATAAAAGCAGACAAGCCTCCTTATCACCCAAAAAAAAAAAAAAAAAAAAAAACATAAAAGCAGACTGATTTAGTTTATGAAGCAGAAGTACCCAATAAACTAGATAGTCTATTAGATATAAAATATAATCATTTTTTTAAATACTATTAACTCCATTACAATGTAGTATCTTAACCTACTGAAACACAGAGAGTCAATAGCACCTCTATTGAAGCTCAAACCCACAACCTCGATCTCTTATGCGAGTTCAACTTGGTACCATTAAACCACAAAATCCTTACTATATAAAATATAATCATTAATTAAATAAATTATAAAATTTATATAATGTATAGTAG